TTTTGAAAACCAAAGATCAGGTGTTTCATGTTTTCCAGAAGTTTCATGTTCTAGCAGAAAGGGAGACGGGTCGAAAGCTAAAGCGTCTCCGAAGTGATAATGGAGGTGAGTACACTTCAAGAGAATTTGAATATTACTGTTCAAGTCACGGGATCAGACATGAAAAGATAGTTCCTGGAACCCCACAGCACAATGGCGTAGCCGAGAGGATGAACCGCACCATTGTTGAGAAAGTGAGAAGCATGCTTAGAATGGCTAAACTGCCTAAGTCATTCTGGGGTGAAGCAGTTCAGACGGCCTGTTACCTGATCAATAGGAGTCCATCAGTTCTGTTGGCGTTTGACATTCCAAAGAGAGTTTGGACTAACAAGGAGGTGTCCTACTCACACCTGAAGGTGTTCGGTTGCAGAGCTTTTGCACACGTATCAAAGGAGCAGAGAACAAAGCTAGATGATAAATCTGTTCCCTGCATATTCATTGGATATGGAGATGAAGAGTTCGGATACAGATTGTGGGATCCTGTGAAGAAGAAGGTCATCAGAAGCAGAGATGTAGTCTTTCGAGAAAGTGAAGTTGGAACTGCTGCTGATATGTCAGAGAAGGCCAAGAATGGTATAATTCCTAACCTTGTTACTATTCCTTCTACTTCTAACAATCCCACAAGTGCAGAAAGTAGGACCGACGAGGTTGCCGAGCAGGGGGAGCAACTTGGTGAGGTTATTGAGCAGGGGGAGCAATTTGATGAAGGTGTCGAGGAAGTGGAGCACCCCACTCAGGAAGAAGAACAACCTCAACCTCTCAGGAGATCAGAGAGGCCAAGGGTAGAGTCATGCAGGTACCCTTCCACAGAGTATGTCCTCATCAATGATGAAGAGAGCCAAAAAGTCTTAAGGAGGTGCTGTCCCATCCAAAAAAGAACCAGTGGATGAAAGCCATGCAAGAAGAGTTGGAATCTCTACAGAAAAATGGCACGTACAAGCTGATTGAACTTCCAAAGGGTAAAAGACCACTCAAATGCAAATGGGTCTTTAAACTCAAGAAAGATGGAAATTGCAAGCTGGTCAGATACAAAGCTCGATTGGTGGTGAAAGGCTTCGAACAGAAGAAAGGTATTGATTTTTACGAAATTTTCTCACATGTTTTCAAAATGACTTCTATTCGAACAATCTTGAAATTTTCTCACCTGTTGTCAAAATAACTTCTATTCGAACAATCTTGAGCTTAGCTGCTAGCCTAGATCTTGAAGTGGAGCAGTTGGATGTGAAAACAACATTTTTTCATGGAGATTTGGAAGATGAGATTTATATGGAGCAGCCAGAAGGATTTGAAGTAGCTGGAATGAAACACATGGTGTGCAAATTGAACAAGAGTCTTTATGGGTTGAAGCAGACACCAAGGTAGTGGTATATGAAGTTTGACTCATTCATGAAAAGTCAAACATACATAAAGACCTATTCTGATCCATGTGTATACTTCAAAAGATTTTCTGATAACAACTTTATTATATTGTTGTTGCATGTGGATGACATGTTGATTGTAGGACAAGACAAAGGAGCTGATTGCAAAGTTGAAGAAAGATTTGTCCAAGTCATTTGACATGAAGGACTTGGGCCCAACACAACAAATTTTGGGGATGAAGATAGTTCGAGAGCGAACAAGCAGAAAGTTGTGGCTATCTCAGAGAAGTACATTGAACATGTACTGGAATGCTTCAACATGAAAATGCTAAACCAGTCAGCACACCTCTTGATGGTCATCTGAAGTTGAGCAAGAAGATGTGTCCTACAACAGTGGAGGAGAAAAGGAACATGGCTAGAGTTCCTTATTCTTCAGCAGTCGGAAGCTTGATGTATGCAATGGTATGCACCAAACCTGATATTGCTCATGACATTTGTGTTGTTAGCAGGTTCCTTGAAAATCCCGAAAAAGAACATTGGGAAGCAGTCAAGTGGATACTCAAGTACCTAAGAGGTATCGCAGGAGATTGCTTGTGTTTTGGAGGATATGATCCAATCTTGAAGGGCTACATGGATGCTGATATGGCAGGTGATCTTGATAATCGTAAATCTACTACTAGATACATGTTCACTTTTTCAGGGGGAGCTATATCCTGGCAGTCGAAGTTGCAGAAGTGTGTCACACTCTCTACAACTGAAGCAAAGTATATTGCTGCTACTGAAGCTGGCAAGGAGATGGTATGGCTAAAACGGTTTCTTCAAAAACTTGGATTGCACCAGAAGGAATATACAGTCTATTGTGACAGTCAAAGTGCAATAGACTTGAGCAAAAACAACATGTATCATGCAAGGACGAAGCATATCGACGTGAGATATCACTGGATTCGAGAAAAGATAGAGGATGGATCTATGCAGGTCAAGAAGATCCATACAAGTGAGAATCCTTCGGATATGCTGACCAAGGTGGTACCAAGAGACAAGTTCGAGCTATGCGAAGAACTTGTCGGCATGCACTCAAACTAGCAACCCCAGGCTTACCTCCTTCAGGTGAATGGGACTGGAGGGGGAGATTGTGGGGTCCATTTATTGGTAATAGGCATATACCTATGATTACTTTGGCCCCAAGTTTGGAAATGAATGGAGGAGAATTGAAGCTCCTCCTGTAGCATTCTTGGAGGCTACGTATTTTCTCCTATAAAAGGAGAGCTCTTTCACTTCTATTAAACACACCAACAAAGAGAGAAAGAAAGGGTGAGGCATCATAGACAGGGTATAAGAAAATAGTCTGTGAGAAAAATAGAGAGTGTGAGCAATATTGTAGTGAGGTGAAAATATCAAAAGAGGGTTATCTCTTTTGAGTGTTGTAGTGATCTTTGGAGTATTTTACTCGGGCCTACAAAGTGTAAAATTCTTTGCTATAGTAATATCAGTTGCTCCTCTCGGGGTCGTGGTTTTTTCCCTTATTCAGAAGGGGTTTCCACGTAAAAATCTTGGTGTCATTGTCACTCTTTTATTCTTGTTGATTACCGTATCTTAGTACTACATTATTATTCCGCTTTTATTAGTGTGAATATTATTACTGAGGGGGATTTATTCCCAACAGATAGTGTAAAAGACCTTAACATTGTCGGTATGCATAACTTAATCCTTATCAATATGGTTAGAATAATCAAGTGTTAGTTCATAAGTAAGAAAGCGAAAGGAACTTTTACGGTATTAGCGTAATTGAACTTATTACTGTGGTTGTTTGCTCGATCTATTTTCAAATAACTAGTTTCAATTATTATGAACAATTATCTGTATATATCTTTTATATGACCTGACGGCATAAAACCTTTTGTATAATGTCATTGTGTGGAAGTTGAAGTCTGAATAGAAGTATAGGAAAAAAAAAAGAAGAAGAAGAGGGACATCTTGAGAACATTGTACTTACTGGTGGGAATGCAGGAAAAGGAGATAGTTCGCGAGAATGAAGCAACTGATCAGAACTGGGGATTATGGTGAGAAAAAGGGGTAGAAGCAAAAACAACTTCTTGGTTTTCAATTCCATCATTCTGCAAATTGTTTCATACCCATTGCACCCAGCAACATCGGAACATGGATATTTAAAAGGATTTAACAAATGTAATGTTTGGGAGCAGTTAGCATTATTTTTGAGAGGAAATAGTCAAGACCTACATGTGTAAGGTAATATGCTTGTATTCTGTCATGAATATATATATATATATATTGTGTGGATTCCATAGGGAGGAAAAGCAGAAAAACAGAAATAAAGTAGTTAGGTCTCTTAAGATGACACATTTTCTCGCCGTTGAGTTTCTACATAAGATTTTCTCTTTTTACAGAGTCATAAGGAGTAAGAGAGATCCAAATGTACAGTTGTAGCCATAAGGACATCGAGTTTCGAACTTGTACACTACATTTTAATTGTGAAACAAATCAATTTGAATTTAGTATATATCAAATTTTTAGAGTCGATTTGAGTTTGTTTACTAAAGATACAAAACGAGCTTATACTTCTTTGTTTGAGCTAAAACTTGATCATACAAACTTATAAAGATTTCTATCTATACATTTTTCTAAGCAATACAGTTAAATGTGGCATTACTAAATATCATACCACAACAGTATAAAATGCAACTTTTGTAACTGATCAAGTTCTAACTTTGGAGTCAGGACGATCAATTGTTGAAATAAAGTTAAATACTATTCGTCGACAATTTGAAAATAAAAATGAAAATTAAACAAATAATTGTGAAATACTATGGACTCGATCATTAGAAATTATTTTGGTATTGAAAATAATAATAATTAGAACTATTAAAGCTCAGAGTTTGAGTTTCATCCCTTAAGTTGTCGGGTAAATTTGCTAATGGTGCATTAATATAATATAACAATTAAAAAGATTATAAAGAGGGACTTCAACAGGTAGCTGGAATAGCTCAGTTGGTTAGAGCGTGTGGCTATTAACCACAAGGTCGGAGGTTCAAGCCCTCCTAGCGTTTTGATGCGTCTTGTTTTTTCCCAACTCTTTTTTCTTTTTGGGTGGTAAAGTAGATACTTAAATCACTAAAATAGTTATAATCCAACCATGTTCGTAGAGCTGCCCATGTGGCTAGCATTGTGTCGAATAGTAGCATTACATTACTATTACATACCACATTTTTTCTGTTAAATGTAGTTCCTAAGATGTCTGCTCATCATAAATAATTTACAAATTTTCACATATTTAGTAATCTTAACTTTTTTTCTTTTGATTGTCTTCAAATTCATTAGGAAGTTTTGAATGATAATTCACTGCTAATCCTGCACTTGTGAGTCAAATTGTTTTATAAATATTCAAGTTTAGTAAAATTTTAGATGGTCTCCCTTATGTTCTTATTTTTAATAATACAATTTAACATAAAAATATGAAAATCATTAGTAAGTATATAATTAGGAAATTTTTTAGTGTAATTTATAGATGTTTTAACCTTTTTTTTAACAAAAATAAATAAATTAACTTCGCAATCTGAAACCATCAATATCTTTTGGGACGACTGTAGTAACATTAGATTCTGGTCTTGGATATACAAGCAAATGGTTATGAAGGACCTAAAATATTAAATAAGGAACCCAAAATAAAATGCCCCTTTAACCGTTTTAACTACCTCACAAATCACCAGGTCCATAAATATTTATTCTGCAAAGAATCCTACAAATTCGGATGTATTTTTGACAAACAAGGAACTCAATTTGACTTGAAGATTTGTCTTTTTTTGAGTCATTTTGATTCTGGGGTATCCAATTTTCTCTCTTTTATCCACATGATCTTAGGGAAAACACCCTCTTCTATTAATCTGCATCCTTATAATTTCAAAAAAAAAAAAAAAAATTGTAATTCCACCTGATAAAATCATGGCGAGTTTGAAATCTGGCGTTCTTGTAAAGTTACTTGAAGACATGAAAACTGGTAATGAAAATGCCACGTTAGAAGATCGAAATAAGCCAGCATTGTTACAAATCAGAAGCATAATTCCTGTCCTAGAGGAAGGTAATTTATTGCCCAATAGGGGATTTTACCTCAAGATTTCAGATGCATCACACGCAATATATGTCACATTGTCCCAAGACCAAAATGAGCTGATTTTAGGCAACAGGTTAAAACTAGGACAATACATTTATGTATATAAATTGGAGGATGCACAACCATTTCCATTGCTTAAAGATTTAACGCCTCTCCCTGGTAGGCGTCCATGTGATGGAACCCCTGAAGATATTGGTTCGGTTCCAAATTTTGAGAAGATTCATGATTCATCCAATTCTGATTTTATTGTTGAAAAGGGTGTCATTTCTGAAGAAAAGATTATGGAAATATCAACCAATTTAAGGAGGTTATCTTTAGAGTCATCTGATGTAGAGGAAGTGAGGAAAAAAAGTGATGTTCTTGAGGGAAGTACTAAGAAAGGCAAGTTCAGGTCATTGAGTGCTTCGAAAACTCGTCCAGGAGATAAAAGATCAGATGTTGAGAGAAGAAATTCTGATGTTCTGGGGTTAGTTAGTAGGGGTTGGAGAATGTCTGTTGATAATGATAGTGATACGGATAGCACGGTATCTTCAGTGTCATCATCCACCTGGAATTCTAAGAGGAAAAGTTGGAATGAGTTAAAGAATTTGGGTGCTGAGGAGATTTTTGATTCTTCAGTTGTCAAACACAATATCAGACCACCACGTTGTCGTAGTGCAACTGTGAGTTCCCTTTAACTTTCTGTAGTTAGTTTCCTCAATGTTTCATCTTTTCTGATGTGATAAAGAGTTTGATAAATGCATAATGAGATGTTCAGAAAGGTAGTACTTAGCAGACAAATGTAAATAATAACATTTTCTTAGCTATAGAAGTAGGCCACGAGGTAGCATGGTCTGTTCTTATCTGTTTTAAAGCTTCAGTAGTTTTGAAGTTGGCGTGTCCAAGGATTGATAAATTTTCAGAAGTTATCAACCATCAATTTTACCACATAAACTCTTCAACAAAAATTAAGATTTTGATATCTTTCTTTTGGTTGATTGAGCCAAAATGTTGCATCTGGTATAACAATTTCTTAATTTGTATTGATGTTTGACTATTGTCTGAGTAGCTAGAATAGCTAGTGATTTAGACTTTGGAAAGATATACCTGTTAGTTGTAGTATAAAGCTGTCAAGTCCGCGTTCAGCTGGAGTAATTGATAGGGGATATCATGTTATCGTGGCCTCTAAGATTGGATTCTTATTTGTTCAAAGTGATTACTTTTTCTCTACGCGTTAGTCATCATTTTGGTTAATTATCAGATTCTGAACTATTTTAGCCTGCGTTTAAGTTTTATATTAGGTCCTTTCCGAGGTTATTCTTAATCTTTTTTGTCGACAGGTTTCACCTGTTCGTTCTGTCAAATACGACAGCTCAGATGACAATTCAAGTTCAATATCAAGAAGAAGGCTTGTTGGTTCTGCAAAGAAAATAGTCAAGAGTTCAACTAAGAGCAAGAATTCTATGTCAAAGGTGAACTCTGAACAAGCCTTCCATCCAATTAAAGGCTTAGTATATGACAGACAAGGCGCAGAAAGTGGGATTTCATGGGATTCACTGCCCTCAAGTTTGGTGAACCTTGGCAAGGTACTGAGTTCAATTGTAGTTAATTGCATAACTTGAATGACTAATCGAGTAATTCATAATAATAACTTTGCCTGCGGTTTTCTCTTTCACTTCAGGAGGTTGTAAAGCAAAGAGACATTGCTCTCTTTGCAGCTGCTGATGCTTTGCAAGAAGCTTGTGCAGCTGAGAGATTGCTCAATTCATTAAGGTAATTACTATTTGTGTTCTATCCTCCTTTTTGCTAAATGAGTCTCACAATTATAGATAGCTTTCGTCTTTAAAGTAATACATTGAATTTCCTTATTGGTCGTAATGACAATGCAGTATGGTCTGTCTTGCATGTAACTCAGAATGTGCCGATATAAATGAACTCAAATGAAGTTACAGAACTTTGAATTGAAGCATATACTAGATGTATCACTATCAACTAGGAAAATATGAAGGATTTGACTTGTTGCCCTTTTTATTAACGAACTGAAATGTGCATAGGCCAGCAGTTTACACAAAGCTACCAGTTTCATGAAATGACATGATATTGTTTCTATACATCAAATTTACTGTTTTATGTGCATTTTTTTATTACTCTCCCTTCTTTTCTTCTCTGTTATACAGTACTGTTGCATTATGGATCCCAAAGTGTAGAAGCTAACACCTCTTCTTTTCTCCAGCAAATTCTCAGAGTTACGCTTACCTGAAGAAGATGATCTACAGCCTCATGTTGATACATTTTTGGATCTTCAAGATGATATGGCTCAGACAAGACTAATAATGAAGTTACTGACAAATATAAGTCCAATTAGAACAGGAGAAACAGATTCAAGTAGCACAATTTCAGATAATGAAGCATTAACTATTGCAGCGCAAAGAAAGAAAAATGCAGCTGCATGGATAAAATCTGCTGTGGCTTTAGATCTTTCACCATGTTCCACTTCCCTCAATCAAATTTCTAACTCTATGACCGTTGCCAATACACTGAAGAAGTCTAGTACATCTAGTCACAGTACCAAACAAAAAGGCGCAAGCATTATTAGAACTGACAATATAAACACTGATGACATTTCGTTTGTATTGACATCTAACAGTGATGCGCATTCTGAATGGACCAGTGGTAGCACTATCCCTGCAGCTACTCGGCTAGCTGCTTCATTGCAGGACGAGTGTAGAAAAAAGTTTTTGTGTTACATAGAGAAGTATATTAATGAACTTGAAAGAAAAATGTATTTAATGGTATCAGATAACCAAGTAGCAGCAATGATGTATAAGGTCAAGAGAGTAAATGACTGGTTAGACATGATCATCAACAAGGAGGGCAATCCTCAAAAAGACGCGAGCAAAGAAGGTTCAAACTTGGATGAAACAGAAATTGAAGCATGTAATAGGGTGAGGAACAAAATATATGGGATCCTACTGAAGAATGTAGAGAGGACTGCTATGGCTTTTGAAAGCAGCAATGCAACGTTACATCGTTGACAACTGAGATTTCTACTGTTAGCTCGTATTAAACTTGAAGAGTACATTGAAGCGACAATATTCAATCAGAATTGTTCTCTAAGTAGTGTACAAGTGCATATCATTCTCCGTTCTAGAGAATAAATGCAATAACTCCTTCTTTTATAGCATTGCCCGAGCCTAAGTTATTTCCTTGCCTCAATAGTCTCTGCACATATGGAAGGGGAGTCTTGGCATAACTGGTAAAGTTGCTGCCATGTGACCAGGAGGTCACGGGTTCAAGCCGTGGAAACAGTCTCATGTAGAAATGTAGGGTAAGACTGCGTAAGTAGACCCTTGCGGTTCGGCCCCTCTCCGGATCCCGCGCATATATAGCGGAAACTTAATGCATTGGGCTGCCCTTTAATAGTCTCTGCACATATGCTTCTGTAAATAGGTCTCCATGTAAATGTCCTCGGACAACTCTAGTTTCTCCTTTTATTGTGATGCCAAATAGTCTACTTCAAACTTCTTTTATAGTTAACATAGCAGAAATAATCCTAAATGTCTCAAACAAATTTTTACTGGCTACTAGGCGTAGGGGTGTTCAAAACTGAACCGAAACCGAAAACCGAACCGAAACCGAAGCTTAATGGCTTATTGGTATCGGGTTAACTGTTTAACGGACGGGGAGCAGATTGAATTTTTTTTTAATATATATAAATTTTTTTTAATATATATATATATATATATATATATATATATAAAATTTATTTTTATCCATATATATATTAAACCCGTTCCAGTACTCTATCTCTAACGCCTAATTCCTAAATGATCAGAAACCCTAACGCCTAAATTTCAACCAGTAGGTATGTGTACCCTACTGTATGATCTCTCTCTGCAATTTGAATGGTTTAGTTGAATGGATATTCAGTAGCATATGATCTTAAATCAATAAGGAAACAATAGTCTTTTCCTCCATTGAAACATTACTAGGCTACTTGTATAATGTTGTTGTATGTATTGAATAAGGAAATGTTGTTTTCTCATGTTTGATGATTATGATCGCTCTTCAATGCGTATAAATAATGACTGGTACAGTGATTCCCATCCATATTCTTGCTTGCTTTTCTATGTGATGAAGTTGGCAGCCATTGCTTCATCTTTTCACTCGACAACACATGACATACTACATTATTCTTACGTAGGCGTTAACATGTGTGTTTGGACTCAATGTGTAATTTTTTATTCTGAATTTGTGTGCTAGGCGGTCAGCAAACAATTAATGCACGCAATATAGATTGAATTAGGCCGATAAACCGCCCGATAAGAGCTAAACCGATGCCAATCCACTTGATATCTTATCGGGTGGCTAGCGGACTAATACATTTAAAAGCCGATAACCGTTAAGCCAAACCGTTAAGAGTAATTAACCGCCCAATCCGCCCAATAAGCAGCCCTAAGGCGATCTTGGGGGCGGCCCAGTTGGCAGCATAAGAAGAGATGATCTTGGCATAAAATTTCGCATGATTAATGTGTTTGCGACTTAAAAATCAATATTACTAATGTAATCTTTGTAATATTAATACAATACTTGACTACTGGTATAAAAAACTCTGTATAATTAAGGTAGTGTTTGATTTTTAGTATTTAAACGGATCTATATATTATTTTATGTATAAATAGAATGCGGATAAGAATATATGAAGTAACAAACCTAAATAAGTGTAGGAAAAAAAGAGGTTTATAAAGTAGATAATCCTTACGGAACAATGTTACAATCCCATATCTGGCAAATTATCAGAAACATGGTCCATACTCCATACCACTTTCATTCGTTCACTACCTATTCTTAATTTTTTAACCAATCCTATCTATTTTATTAATATTAAATAGGAAGCTGACATTTTGATCACGTGGAAGATGTTGGTTGGTTGAGCTTCGTCATACACTCCACACTACCATTAATCACGTGAGAATGGGATATTGGGATGCTTATTAAGTTGGTCAACTACCATTTTACGATTTGCATTAAATTTCTAATGCCAAATAGTTCCCTGAAACGAGTAAAATAAATAATATTTAAGATCACAAAATTTAAATACATATTTTAATACATTACATACATTTTAAAATTAAAATCACAAAATTCAAAAATCTCTTTCATTTATAAAATTTGGTTCTTAGTCCCAAAAATAAAATGAATGGAGTATAAATTTTGGTGTGCATGTTAAACAAAGGTTGAATAAAATCTAATTGACACTTAACTTCACAAAAGAAACTAAAGCACAAAATAAAATAACTATACTTAGATCATTTTTAGACAATATTACAAAATACTACTTAAAAATTAGACAAAAATCAAGACTAAAATATTCCCAAACACAAGCGGAACTGGGATTTACCATCGTACTCAACACAAACAAGTCACAAATAAAAAACAAAACAAGAAAGAAAGCTAGAAATTTCCTCCATTAACATACAGTTGAAAGATTTTTTCTTATACCCTCTCTCGTTCTTGGATTACCAAGAAAAGAAAATGGGGGTTTCTAAAACTTGGAAAGCTACAATCTTTTTAGGGTTTCTATGGCTGAACCTATTATTCCAATCAGTAGTGGGTCGTTTCGTAGTGGAGAAAAACAGCTTAAGGGTCGTCTCACCTGATGATATTAAAGGCACTTACGATAGTGCAATTGGCAACTTTGGGATTCCACAATATGGTGGTAGTCTTCCCGGTACTGTGGTTTATCCAAAAGGAAACCAAAAGGGTTGTCGAAATTTTGATGATTCTGGGATTTCTTTTAAGTCAAAATCTGGTGCTATGCCCACCTTTGTTCTCGTCGATCGTGGAGGTATGTAACCAACTCCCATAGCTCTTTCTAGAACATTCTTGTAAATTGTACTTCCTCGATTCAATTTATGCTTTCCTTTTAGTCTGTCCCGAAAAATAATACTCCCTTTCTCTATTTAGAAATGATTCAACTCTAAAGTTCTTATGTTAACCTTACTGAGATGATTTATAGCCACAATAGTATCTATGACTTGTTTCTTTGTTTCCAATCAAACAATATCACATAATATGGGATGGAGGGAGTAGCAATTTTACTTGGTCGTTGTTATAAAAAAAAAAGATAATTTATTGAGTATTAGAATGAACAGGTGTAAATTGAGTTGAATGGATATTGAGGATTCATATTTTCGGCCAATTAGTTTGATATTGAGGTGTGGTTGTAGTTTGTTGTTGTTGTTTTGGTCCTTGTCACTGCGTTGATGTCTCAGTTTATTTTTGTTATTTTGGGGAATTTTCTAATTGTCATTCTTTGGACCGTATCAGTAGTTTTTGGTTTAAGTTAATGATACGAAGTTGATATGTTAGTTCTTGAAGTATCCCATTGCTTTTCTTCCGACTGTTTCTAAGTGTCATATCATTTGTAGTACTTGTTAGTTTTCCCTAACAGTGGCTGATAAATTTGAATGCTTTATTGTTTTCAGCTGGCTTGCGTTACATAGGCTACCGTCATTGTTGATTTTGAGTCCCTCAACTCTTTCTAGTCAAACTTTCTGTTCTTTTTTCTTCTTTTTTCCTATTAAAATTTTCATTTCAAATTTTGGAAATGAAAATTTGGATCCCAGGAGGAGTCATAGTTCAATAATACTTTGAGCAGTAATTGGGGATTGATATGTTAAGTCAATGTACTCTTTTATATTGAGAAAGAGGTCATCTGTAAAATTATCACGAGTTATGGGAAGTTACTGTTTTTCTTGTTGGCAGATTGCTTCTTCGCTCTGAAGGTCTGGAATGCCCAAAATGCGGGTGCCGCTGCAGTTCTAGTTGCAGATGATGTTGACGAAAGGCTGATAACCATGGATACACCTGAAGCGGATGGTTCTTCTGCAAAATACGTTGAGAACATAACAATACCATCTGCCCTTATTGAGAAAAGCTTTGCAGAGAAGTTGAAGAAAGCTGTGAGTGCAGGAGAAATGGTTAATGTGAATCTTGATTGGAGAGAAGCTGTGCCCCACCCAGATGATCGTGTGGAGTATGAGCTGTGGACTAGTAGCAATGATGAATGTGGGTTCAAATGTGACATGTTGATGAAATATGTCAAAGATTTTAAGGGTGCAGCACAAATTCTTGAGAAAGGTGGATATACGCAATTCACACCCCACTATATTACTTGGTATTGCCCTCAGGCATTCACTGTAAGCAAGCAGTGCAAGTCTCAATGTATCAACCACGGAAGATACTGTGCTCCTGATCCTGAACAAGATTTCAGCACTGGATATGAAGGAAAGGACGTTGTTGTTGAGAACTTGAGGCAGCTGTGTGTTTTTAAAGTGGCCAATGAGACAAAGAAGCCATGGGTGTGGTGGGATTATGTGACCGATTTTCAGATTCGGTGTCCCATGAAGGAGAAAAAATATAACAAGGAATGTGCTGATGGTGTTATCAAGTCTTTAGGTAATAAATGCTGCCTCTTAACGCCGTCCAATTATCATATGTGAATAGATTAATGTCAATTTTTCCTCTCTATAGGTCTTGATTTAAGAAAGATTGAGAAGTGTATGGGAGACCCTAGTGCTGATGAGGACAACCCTGTTCTGAAAGAAGAGCAAGATGCTCAAGCAAGTTTCTTTATCTTTCTCTAGAAGTTTTAAAACAATTTAAAGGGGTGCAAACACTTACAAAAGTAGAACTCCTATGCAGGTTGGTAAAGGAACAAGAGGTGATGTCACCATATTACCTACTCTTGTTGTCAACAATCGACAATATCGAGGTTAGTCCACGCACTTAATCTCATCTTCAATTGAGAACTTTATTTTTCTTTCTTAATGCTTGTTCTTGCAGGGAAATTGGAGAAAGGAGCTGTTTTAAAGGCTATTTGTTCTGGTTTTGAGGAGACTACTGAGCCTGCAGTTTGTTTGAGCGATGGTGAGTGCACATCATATTTAAAGCTAAATTTCAATAAGATGTTTAATCATAACATAGAATGACTTTCTTTTATAACAGACGTGGAGACAAATGAGTGCCGGGATAATAATGGTGGCTGCTGGCAAGACAAGGCTGCTAATATCACTGCCTGCAAGGTTCTTGCATTGACTTGTGGAATTCTACGACAGTTTTTGTATCAAAATTTTGTAATCTTCCCTGTTTTCTGTCTCATTGATCCTCTTAGTTTGTATGAGCAGGATACATTTCGTGGTAGAGTGTGTGAATGCCCCGTGGTTGATGGTGTGCAGTTTAAGGGAGATGGTTATAGCTCTTGTACAGGTAAACTAATACATTTGGTCCATTTCAATTGAAATGACTGTTTTCACTAATTTAGTTGTCAAGCAGAAAGTTTTTTTTTCTTTTCTTTTTTCTTGTTAGATGAGTTGTTTCTTAATTAACCCCATATAGAAAATTCAACTGGATAACATAAGTTCAAGAAAACCTTTTAATAAAATTCTTCATGTATTTTCAATGGGTTTTACAATTATCAGCAAAACTTGTTATGCTAATCATGGAAATCCAAGTGCTTTAAATTCAAGACTAGCGATTACTCTTAGTGTATGCCTGTATGTTATTAGATCATAAAAACAAGTAGGTATGTATTAGATTATTTTTGTTGGTGCATGCAAGAGTATGTTGGTTTTCTCTTTTTTCTTTCGTCTTATGTATACTTACATATTTTAAAAAAATGAAGATGCCCTTAGTTGAGTTGTATTGTTTGTCATCAAAGAGATCTTATCATGTAAAGGTAGTAGAACAGATCATGGCAGCTGAAAAGTGTGATCTAATAAGTATAGCTCTCAGAAGTTGAATACAGTTCAACTCTGATTCTTATCTGTCTGATATCCTTTATCACTCTATTACTTAAAAAATGTAGCTGTTTTTTGTCTTACTGCTGCTTCTTTCCTCAGTCTTTTGTAGTTCTTTTTAAGTTTGCACGTGCAATTTTGCTGTCTCTTGAAATTATGTTGTGACTTCAATAATCTAATTCCACTATCTGCAGCAAGTGGACCTGGGCGATGCAAACTCAACAATGGAGGCTGTTGGCATGACACACGAGATGGTCATACTTACTCTGCTTGTGTGGTTGGTTAACCATCTCTTGAATTTCAATTTCTTATATTTATCTCCACGTTCCATTTTCAAATTGGTCCAGATTTGAATGCTGGACATGTTCTAACAGGATAACGAGGAGGGGAAATGCTCTTGTCCTCCAGGATTTAAAGGTGATGGTGTTAAAAGTTGCGAAGGTAAGCGATTTTACTTGATCATGACGAAGTTATTATATTAAGAAAATTATCTTTTATTCTTAGAAGAAAAATTATACACACTACCCTCCTCCGACTCCACTTGTGAGATTGTACTGGGATAGTTGTTGTTGTTGTCTTAGAAAACAAATTAAACTAGTTGTGACCCTCCCCTGCAAGGAATGTGCTGGATTACTGGTAGGGGGATAGATATCAAGGGAAATTTATGGAGGATAAGTTATTCAAAATTCTCAAATGAGCAAAGTAAAACAGTGGAATTTTCAGATTACTCATCAGTAATGTTTTTGCAAAATTTTTGGTCTGAGGAGTTATGCCGAAAAAAAGAAGCTAATAAAACAAAAGAAACTTCTTGAGTATGTTTCGAACATTGAATGGTATGAAATTTTTTGCATATGCTCACTGAGATATTCTAACTTGTAAAGCTTCTTTTCTCTTTATGGAACTGCGGCTTTAACCTCTATCATTATGTCATTTGTTTTCACTTCATAGATGTTGATGAATGCAAAGATAAGAAAGCATGTCAATGCCCAGAATGCAGCTGCAAGAATACATGGGGCAGTTATGAGTGCAGTTGTAGTGGGGACCTACTGTACATTAGAGACCATGACACCTGCATAAGTAAGTTCACATACTCCAGACTTCATTCCAAATATCCCTCATTATGCGTCCACAATGACAACTGGTTATGGCTACTTTTATTTGCAGGCAAGAGAGCTAGAGAAGTCAAATCGGCTTGGGCCGCAGTTTGGGCCATTTTGATTGGATTGGCTATGGCTGGTGGTGGTGCATATCTTGTATACAAATACAGATTGAGGGTAAGTTTAGAACTCATTGGATTTATACTGTTAAATTGGTGATAGTAATTCTTTTAGAGTATTTGATCTTTTTGGTGAACCTCACGGTAAAGTTAATAAATGATCTTTTACATCTGAAGTTTTTTGTTGTTGGTGAACTGGTAATTGATTGATTAGGCATTCTACTGATAATTTTTTCAAATTAAATTGGTGTTAGCCCATTTCCGAGAATTGGCCTTTCCTTTTTATTCTTTAACCAGCTTTAAGAAAGAGTAACAGCCATGTGATTGATTAGGTTAGCTGACATTTAGGCTAGTAATTCGTAGTTAGGAAAGAAAAATATACGTTATTACTAAATGCTAGTACTTATCTTTCTATTTTCTTGACACTCAACCATTCTCTACTTGTTAGTGTATGTATCCATACTTTCTTTGTCTTGTTGTTCCATGGGTCCATGTTGGTGAAAACAAAGGGATTCATTAGGAAAGTTGTTTATGCACTTGTGATGATAATTGGTGAATGAATCACTTTCTTAGCTTAATTACTAATGCTGGAAGAGCAAAAACGTGCTCAACAGTGCATGCTTCCACTTGCGTTTTCCACTAATGCGCTTGTTTCTGGACATTGCTTGTTTGTATGTGTACACACTAATATCTCCTCTGCTATTACCTCCGCAGTCATACATGGATTCGGAGATCAGGGCCATTATGGCACAATATATGCCGCTAGACAGCCAAAACGAAGTCCCAAATCATGTCAGTGATGAACGTGCTTGAAATAGAGATTACATGCCACCAGATTTCCAAAATGAAGTCCAAATATTACCAAGCCTGGATTGCAGACAGAAAAATTTATCAGTAATCATTCTTCTGAGAATTTGGGTGAAGTGGCAGATGCAATTGCCTTCTCTTTCTAATAAAGAAGCTGAAGGTAAATTATTACGTCTGTTATATACAATGGATAATAAAGACAGCGTACGACTTTCTTTTCTTTTAATTTATGCTTTTTTCTCCTCATTTTATGTATCTTTGAGGGTCTTGTAACATTTTAGGCATCAGTTTAGGTTCAGGCGAACAGTTTGTGGTAGGATTTATATAGCTGTCATGTGGAATGAGTTGTATCACCATTATTTAGATTGGTGCATGCAATTATGTAAATTGCCTCCCTTTTTGTCATGAGTTGCATCCCATGTACGAAGAGGGATCAAAATTAATGGTAACCGCGTGTGATCTGTGGAGCAGGGTTTACACTAGAACATGACTATGCCTTGCTGCATGAGTATTACTGTAGTATGTCCCATATTTAGCTTCTGTTCGAGTATCCTGTATCTAACTTGCTTTAAGTTGTGTTCGTTGTTTGATCTCTGATTGGAAAGCTATAGTGTCACTCAGCCGGGTTTTAGAATCTCAGCTTTATCTTCCTAATTTGTTTCCTTTCCATTTTAAAGCTCATAGCGACGGTTGGAACTGAAAATGAACTCTCCCTTGACGACTTGTCTCCTTTCCGTTTTAAAGCATAGGAACTGTGAAGTGTGTTGTTGGCCCTACCTTCTTCCCCTTTCCTTTACCGGTGGAGGGCATCGGAAAATAGGATAAAATTTGTTCGTCTACTTCACTAGAGTCTACACAGTATCTATGGCAAAAGTACTATGGTAAAAGTAGGGTGGCAAAAGGGTGTGTCGGGTCGGATATGGGCGGGTAAACAACGGGTAATGCAAAATGGATCAATTATTCGACCCGACCCATATTTGATAAGGATAAAAAATGGGTTAACCGACGTATAATATGAATATTCATATTATTCATGGTTTCTTAAATATGATTATCTTTTGGGAGAATTTGTAGTTTCCCAAACTTGAGGAACCTCCAATTTGAGGTTTTACAAAACGTAAAAGTTAACCCATAGTTATCCATTTTCTAAGTAGATAATATGGTTCTTATCCATACTTGACCCATTTTTAAAAAGTTTATTATCCAACCTATTTAAAAATGGATAATTTGGATGGAGAATTGTTTTTTTAAATCTATTTTGTCACCATTAGGTAAAAGATAGCAAAAATAACGAAACAGAAATCTGTTATTGGAAGGAAAATTATAAAAGCTGTCGTCGGTTTAAAAGCGTTATGTCAAGGAAGCATCAGTAAACCAACAGCTAATACACATAAGAAAGCAACAGTTGATATACATTGGAAAAGGTGGCCAAAAAAAAAAAAAGAATTAAGTACACATTGGAGCAACAGACTATCACTCAGGTGGAGGGTGTTAGGCAGATTAATGCGATTCTTTCGCCTACATTTTCTTCTCCCAATATCTATTATCCATTTCCACTCGAAGAAAAAAATATATTTTGAAAGAAGATGAAGGGGAATAAAGCAGGTAGCAATGGTCCATTTTAGTAAAATCTGACACAAGCCTGTGAAGGTGTCTAGGACAATGAAAAGAATTGTGATACATCATAATATTTTCTCTGTTCAAGCACGTTCATCTATGCTCTTTTAAGCTGTGTGTATATCTACTAGGACAAATGTAGTTAAATGGAACAAATTTAGAGTTCACTCGGTTACAATGTTATTAACCTGAGAATGTTAGTAGAAGACCACTGGTTTGGCATAATGAAGGTCACAAGCATGGAGAAGATTTGCTAGTATGAAAGAGGCAGATTTAAATAGTGTCGCTTATGAACGATTTTAGTAACTTCTGGTCTTTTCCAATGTATTGCCAAAAAAGGAGCACTGGACGACTTATACAATATAACTTGATTAGAGCAAGGTGGAAACAACGGTGGTTTCGTGGTGTAGTTGGTTATCACGTCAGTCTAACACACTGAAGGTCTCCGGTTCGAGTCCGGGCGAAGCCAAATGGTTACATAAATTTTTGGCCACTTCGTCGTTTTGCTTTTATGCACATAACACATGGTTTGGCGCTTAAGCCTAACAAACTTGCATTTTTTCAGAAAACTTAATATAAGTTCGAATTAAAAACTCTATATAATATAGGAAATGCAACTGCAGAAGTGTATAGGATGGTCTTGGCAGCTTGTGTTTATCACATTTCGCTTGAAAGGAATCAAAGAGTTTTTCAAAACATGCAAACTAATGAGAGAACCATTATTAGAAGAATCATTCAAGAGGTTTTTTTAAGAGGCTCCCTACAGAAGAGGCTAGTAAGATGACTGGCTCAATTGAATTATTATTCTTATGAATGCGATCTGTAATAGATAGCTAGCTGGAGGTTGAGTAGTTATTGCGATGATGTGCTGCAGATTGAAGATGCATCTGCATTTTTTTTTTCTTTCATGTACAAAACGCTATTTTGTAATAAAATTTCTTTTGTTTACCAAAAAACCCTATATAATAGGGCAAGAAACCATTCAACACCTCCCAAAATAGCAATAGCATAGGAATTTAGAACAAAGGTAGCGAATTTTCAGCTGAAAGTGAACTAGAAGTTCAGCTTTTCTCATACAGTTTAGGTTTGTGCAGTGATAATTCATAAATTTTTCACACCATCAGATTAAGTTGACGTACAATAATATGTAACTTTTCATAAAAAGTCCCATACTGTAAGCTAGACAATAGAGTAATTACCTGTTATATATAAGTAATAGGTTAAATTACATTGATATATATCGTGGACATTCTTTATATTGACAATGTATATGACATAAACCTTTCCCGATAACCCCAACATTATGAGACATTGCTGAAAAAGAACATCTAAACCTCCATCATGTTCTTTCGCCTACCTTTTCTTCTCCCACTATCTGATATCCATTTCCACATGAAAGGGAAAAAAGTGAAAGAAGATGAAGGGGAATTAAGCAGGTTACGTTGCAATGGTCCATTTTAGTACACAATCTGACACAACCCTGTGAAGGTGTCTAGGACAATGAAAAGAACTGTGATTCATCAAAATATTTTCTCTGTTCAAGCACGTTCATCTATGCTCTTTTAAGCTATGTATGTACATATCTACTAGGACAAATGTAGTTAAATGAAGCAAGCTGTATAGAATTCTCTAGGTCACAATGTTATTAACCTGAGAATGTTAGTAGATAACCACTGGTTTGGCCAAATGAAGGTCACAAGCATGAAGAAGATATGCTGGTATGAAAAACCAGAATAACGTAGTGTCGCTATGAAACCATTTAGTAACTACTTTTAATCTATACAACTATATATCTTTGAACAAGTTCTGTTGAAGGGTGGTTTCGTGGTGTAGTTGGTTATCACGTCAGTCTAACACACTGAAGGTCTCCGGTTCGAGTCCGGGCGAAGCCAAATGCTAACATATATTTTTTTGGCCACTTGTTCGCTTTGTTTTTGGCACATAACTTACGTTTGGCGCTTAAAACCTAATAAACTTATATTTTTCAGAAAAATTAAAAGAAGCTCGAATTAAAAACCCTATATATGGGCAAGAAACCATCAAATACTCTGTTCAACACCTCCCAAAATAGTAATAGCATAGGAACTTAGAACAAAAGGTAGCGAATTTTCAGCTGAAAGTGAACAAGAAGTTCAACTTCAATTTTTTCATACAGTTTAAGGTTTGTGCAGTTATAATTCATAAACTTTTCATACCACCACATTAAGTTAACGTGCAATAATATCCAGTGGCGGATCTAGGATTTTAAAGTCGTGGGGTGCTCCATTGCCTTTACGGAAACTTATTACAACCGCAAATTATAATTGCGTAACTATTTTCAAACTTGAATAGTATAAATATTTGACAAACATATTTAATATTATCATTAAAGGATCAATATATCTACATTTGTCCTTTGGAGTTTTTGATACTTTGAAAGGCGATGAAATAATAGCATTATTAGTTACAAAATTTATTCCAACACAAAATTTAGTGCACGACTAGTCTAAATATGGATTGAAAATTTTAATTTTATTACACAAATGAATAAGAATAAATTTAAGCTATATTAGATTAACTTTCGGCCTCAAAAGTCATACTGGAAAAATGACAAGTGAAACGAGAATTATCTCGAGGAAAAAGTCAAATTGTTGGAACCCGAGAGAGGAAGAAAAGAAGTAAAAAAAAAGAGAAAGAGGAGCAAATAGAGAAATAAAGCAACAAGAAAAAAAGGACATTCTGTATTGGAGAATAGCAGGTTTAGGAAATGGAAAAGATAGTAAAAATTAGAAAAAGAAAATAAAAGGAAAGGTAAAAGAAGTAAAAATAGACAAGAGAGTAAAAGGAAACAATCTGAGGGGGAAAAGAGGCAAGCAATTACGGTAAAGTAGAAAAAAGAATGGGTTGAAATGAAAGTAAATAAATGCACGCCACAATATTCAATTCCGCACAATTTTCTTTACAACCGTTACTTCAGCAACCTCGAAGACCAAAGCACCCACTAAATTTCTTTGTTGATGGGTGCTCAACAAACATAATTCCCAAATTACTGATCATTATCGGTAGAAAGTATTGGTACTGCGTAGGGAGCAACGGGTGCTCTAGCACCCACAAGGATATATGTGGATCCGCCCATGATAATATCTAGCTCTTCATAAAAAGTATGATATTATAAGCTGGACAATAGAGTAATTACCTGTTATATATAAGTAATAAGTTAAATTACATTGATATATCGTGAAGATATTCTTTATCTTGACAATGTATATAACTTAAACCCTTTCCCGATAACCCCAACATTATGAGACAATGCTGAACAAATAGAACATCTAAACCTCCATCATGTTGTGGTGGCAGCCAGAGAGGAAATTATTACACTTAAATCTTGATTATTAGAATGATTAGGTCATGGATAACAGAATAATAGCCAAAGTGTTTTAGTTAATTGTTAAATAGAAAATTAGAAAAGTTGCTATAATTTGCCATCATGTACGTGTATGATAATGCTCTCAATCCACTAATATAGAAATCCACCACAACCATGCCTTGAGCTTTAGTTTCAATTTATGAATTTGGAATGCCAATCTTCAGGTCAAGTCCAAGGTCCATTCCATTGTATGCAATGGGAGAATACATCCATAGATCATCAGAGCTCAAGAGCTGCATCATCCAAACAAAAAACAATCAGGATCTAAATAAAATGAATTAAGAATAAGTGTCACCTGATTATAATTTTTTTTTTACATATATATACAACGTTTGAGCTGAAATAATGAGCTCAATTGAACCTGCATCCTAAATAGTTTGTGAAGACATATCTTACCTTAATTTGGAGTTGCAAAAATTTGACATACTGGACTGCCTCTTCAAGCATGGTGCTAATATCAACCTATATATTATGATTACCTTGCTAATCAGATTCCAATTTTCACAGCAGATTAATTACATGACCATTAATTGATGCAGTTTCACTTAGTACTACTACTCCACATACCTTTGTTCCGTTAGGGACGAGACTTTGCAAGATCCTCAATCTCTCATTAATTCTCTCTCTTCTTTTCTGTAATAAGAGAAAGAAATATCCTAATTTAGTCATATTGTGGCAGATTGATAAGCACTTTCACTACAAGAAAAAAGCTTATTAGCGACCAACTGTTGATGCTTACCCTTGCATATAGACTCTGGGGATCAGTTGCTGAGCCCCTACTGGCTCTGGATTTTCCATTTGAGTTGAGGGGCGCAGAAACTCCTTTTGAGTTATCGCTCGAAGCCAATCCATATAAATCATAATTAGAAACATTAGATTCATCTTCTGAGCAGCAACTAAATGAACTCTGCCTGTGAAGCACATTACTATTGTTTTCTTTATTTCCAATCTCATCATCAGCAATACTCTTCATATTCTTCTTTGGCTTTACACTTCTCTTGTTCTTCGGCACCTATATTAGATATCAGAAATATATTCAGAAACTAATTAATGAAACATTACAAGTTCAGATATTAACACTCACATCATTAGTAGGCAACCGGGATCTTTTCTTAGAGCTTTCAGATAAACTGTCCATTTTATGATCTTGTTCGCGAACTTGCATTTGATCATATTCTCTTCCCAGCTGTAAGCCTTTTCCATGAAGATCAGATTCAGGCATATTTTCACCTGATTCCATACTTCCATTGCATACTTCTTTGTTCAAAAAATCAATTGCATCCGCCTCGATTACATTGTTAGGAGGCACCTGATGAGAAGGGTAACTCATTTTATCTTCAACACTATCATTTGTCAGCAACGTCGCGTGAAAATGGGGAAAATGAATGCCACTACCACCACTATTATCAGTACTTTCTTGTGAAAAAACGTATATGCTATTATTAGTCTCGTCTGAAGAATTATACATTGGAACCTGGTTAGTTAATCCTCCTACGTTCATGCTTGATTGATCATGACCAGTCCAAAAATTGGGAAGTCGAATGTTAGAACTGTTAGGTAGCTCATTTGGACAGTTACCAAACAACTGTGCCATGAAATCAGCTTCCTCAGTAGAACATGTTCCACTCAAAGAACTCCATTCTCCTTCAGACAATATGGTTCCCACAGGTTCCATAATTTTGCTGACAACTGAAGGAGTTGGAGATGCTGATTTGGTTAATGCTTTTTAATAGTTGGAATTAGAGGCATATACCATATAGTAGTTATTTATATATAAGCATATTCCCACCCATATAACAACACCAATGTAGGAATGTCTATGTTGACTTTGTTTGGTACTGTATTTCAATTAATACCTGGGCACTTGGTAGCAGAGGCGGATCCAGGATTTAAACCCTATGGGTTCAGCCTTTAAGATTTTTAGCATTATATTTTTAAAGCTATGGTTCAAATCTACTATTTGTTGCAATTTTAGTAGATTTTACGCATAAAGTTATGCTCCGCATCAAAAGTTATGGGTTCAATTGAACCCGCCACCTATACGCTACATACGCCCTTGCTTGATAGCTATACTCCATCGGTTTCGTTTTATATACAGTGTTTAACAGGGTACGAAGTTTGAGGAAACAAAGAAAGACTTTTGCCACAAAACACAAATATCCTTGGAACTTGCAGTCTTAAGCATGTTAAGAGTGTATCGTTAAGAGTCAAATGGAAGTTTAAAGTTATAAAGTTTCGAATAATGGGACGCATTATTCTTTTCGAAACAGACTAAAAAGGAAAGAATGTAATCTAAAATGCAATATATGGAGTAAATTTAATAATAAGAATAAGCCCCAGCTCATTTAACTAGCAATTATTTGTTTGGAATGGGCCAACTACAACAAAGAGAGACTTTGGTTCAAGCAATTATGGACAACATAATAGAACCACTCAGAAGCTTTTAAAAAAACACGAAGTCCATTTTAAAAAATGATTTGGAATATAGTTTCAAATCATTGAGAAAAAGGATAAACTGTTACTATCAACTATAATTAAACACAGTAGTTAGGTAAAGGTGGAAGTGAGACCTGGTGAAGTAGATACTGTAGAATCATATCTGGCATTCTTGAGAACTACGTGCGGGTCTTTTTCATTCGTTTATTAAGCATAAAATAGAGTTAATAAATGAAAATGACATCATAAAAAAAAACATAGATCGTGATGCTATCTGGTATTTGACATAAAGTCTTCCAGCTTAGCTCCTGTCTCCTCCAAAGCAATTTTCTTCAGATACATTATCGTATAAAATGTTTTTGGACACATTTTCATACAAAGTTCTAAAAATTGGACTTTAAATGACACTCAGCGGCCAGCGCTGTTATTCTAATCCGATAATAACAACATGTCTTAATCCGATAATCTACTAAATCTGAGATGATGCAACTCACATCTAAAATTATCCAGTATTATGGAGAAGTTGGCATATTTTGCTAACCCCGGTTTTTAAAACTTTAGATAACCTGGATCTGGTGAAGAAATTCCACAAAAATAATTAGCCTTTATTTGGTTGATGTATTTTTTACATACTGTTAGCTTGGCTTGGGTGAAATGCAGCAAAGGATTTCAATAAGAAACAGACGAATTAGGAGATTACATACATATAATGATACAAATAAGGAAAATCTTTTAGGTAAAGTGAAGTTGATGTTTTATACTTCAAATACCACACAAGAGGAGGTGATTTGTGTGGTATCCAATTTTCGATTAACTTGATTATAGGAAGACCTGGTTCTTCTACGTGTTCCAACTACAACTGTTGCGGAATAATTAAATACAAAAAATAAAGAACACAGAAATTTTTACGTGGAAAACACCTGGCTCAAAAGGTGAAAACCCCACGACCTACCTTCCAGTAGGATTTTCTCAAACTCTCCACTAAAATCACTGGGCCAAAAACTGCATTTACAAAAACTCTTTTGTAAACCTAGGATTAACTCTAATCCCGCTGTGGCACACAGCCTCAACTGTTGCGACAACTTCAAGTTAACTCTAACTTGAAAACTCATAGTACCTAATACAATTGCTTCTAGATAATCTGAAAGGTACAATATAAAATCACCTACTACAATTGAACTAGAATAAAAGACAGACACTTGGAACTGGTTCTTCTATCTGGTTCAAGTAGCTTCAGGTTTGCACACTTGAATCACACACAAATTGCTTGCAAAATTGCCTCGCTATTTTGCTCTCAATTCACGTTTAACTTCTGCTTGTGTGTGTCACCTATAAAAGAGAACAACACTTAACATTTAAGGAGTTAGGAATTAGAGATTGACTAGGATACTGATGCTACTCTTCCATGGTGGAAGAGTTCTAGTTGATCTCATACTCTAACTATATCCTTTTCCTAAACCGTGTTCTCTCTTTGAGTAAGGAGTCTTTCTCGTTATCCAATATGCAACCTTTTCGATCATGATCAGGAGATATCACTTCTGATAAGTTAGGTTTATCTCCTTCACGTGCATCTCACATGTTTAAGTTGATCATAACTATGCTTCACAAGATGGACCTGGTCCATGTCTGAGTTCCTTTGTCAGTCTTCAAAACTTCACCTTACTCGGGCTAACAAATTCCCCCTTTTTGATGATGACAAACTCTGTGCTTTTCACTCACTTAGGCCATGTCAGAACTCAGCCTATTCATCAATACAAAGTTAGAAAATTTTACTTATCATTAAGGACCAGGTTCATTAGGTTATAAACATCACTTATTAAGAATATATAAAGCACAATATCTCTTCCCCTTTTTGGCATCATCGAAAAGTTGCATAAACAAAATGTGATTCCCAGAATTTTAACAATTACTCATGGCTACTGAGGCAACTGCAAGTGCAATCATAGATTAATCATCAGCAATCAAGCAAACACATTCAAACTATCAAGGAAATATTAACAATCAACAAGAGCAAAAACAGTAGATTTCATTTATAGGAGATATGTTGCTACCACAATCTACAAAAAGAAAGCAAAAATATTTAAAATATGAGCAAAAGAAAGTGAAATCCCTAATCTGGGTCACTGGTGGTACTAGACAGGTTCAGGAGATGAAGGCTAGAAGTCCTAAGGCTTGGGAGAGCTAGAGGGTTGGTTTTGGGCTTGGAGAAGGTTCAACATATTTTGAAGAATGCCATCATTCTTCTCCTTTTCCTTGGTGAGCTCAGTTCTGAGAGCATCCCTCTCAGATTCAACCTTTGCTAAGCGAGCCTTCAGCCTAGCTATCTCAACATCTTTGGCCCCACTTTTCTAAACTAGAACCCTGACTTTACTATTGATAGGTGTCTTCTTGGATGAACCAGGTTCATTGGGAATGGCATTGACTCCATAGTCACAAGCAATCAAAGTATTAATGCCAAAATGATCCTTGCTTGTGGCCATTTCCCACTTCTTCAAAGGCACCTTGCAACGATCCAGAACAGTAGTCAGAATAAATCCATAAGGGGTGGCATGGGCCTTGGAGCCATTGATAACCCTGTCCAGTAGCTTGATGATGAATGCATGCCAGTTAATTTGCCTTCCACTTTCGTGACACTCCATCATAACTAAGTCCATATAGTTAGCAATGTGCCTTCTTTCCTGCCTGGGCAGTAGGCACTTGTTGACAAATTCAAATAGGACTTTGTGGCAAGACTTCATCTCACTCTTGTGCACAAAATTGGCCTCATTCACTTTTCAACATCACATAATTTCCTAGTGATTTCAAGGGCAGAAGGAAGGGAATCCGGACTTGGCCATCTTTGCCTAGTATAGTCATCATATCCCTCAGCTGGGATGTCAAGAATCTCACCCAGCTTCTCTGCATCGAAGGTCACTTGAACCCCTTTCACTTGGCTGGTAACTCTGCCATCTTTGACCTCTGCATTGGCCATGAATTCAATTATTTTATTCCTAGCTAGCCTTCCATCCATCTGAAAGACCATGTCCTTCCAGCCCTGAACAACTAGTGCATAAACCAATCGAACCATTCCTGGTTCCACCAAGACTTTCAGCAATCTACCCTTCAGAATTTTCTTTTGCCAAACTTGGCCAGCTTATCTTGTTCACCATCAGACTCACTCTCTTATTCACCACTCCATTCTTCATCCTCAACAATTCTAACTTGTTTGTTTTTCACAGCAGACCTTGTCCTCTTGGCCAATGAAGGTTCAACAGCCTTAGACCCTGATGAAGATTTCTTGGAAGAAGTCCTGGTCTTTTTAGGCTTGAGGGTCTGAACCTCCACAGTTGTATGTTCCTCCTGATGGACCTGTTCCATCTCCTCAACATCAACAGCCTTAGAAGGCTCTGCAACCTTAGCTTTTCTTTTATCCATCCTCTTCTTCTTGCTTTCAGCCAAAGCCTTTTGTAATTTACTCTCACTCTGTTTCACCATACTTCTTGTGGCTCTCCCCTTTGGCAAGGGAATTTCAGCAGTTGTTGGGGAATTAGCCTTTCTTTTCTTGGTATTCTTTGTAGTGCTGGAACCTTAGGTGTTGGTGCTCTCCTTTTCTTGGGATTATAACTGGCAACTACTTTCTTCAGAAGGTCTGCTAGGGTTTCTTCAATAGATGAACCGGGTTCATCCACATGAGAACATAAATTTACCAAACCCTCAGCAGCCTCCCCTGATCCACTTCCCCATGTTTCCTTGCCACTTTCTCCTACAATTTCATCCTCAGTCCCACAAATTGCTGATCTAACCATCTCAGAGGTGGGTGACGAATCAACCACTTCTATCTATGTTCCCCTCACATCACAGCTTGCACCTTCACTCTCTTTTTCTTTTTCAATTTTATTTTTACCTCCTCTCCTTCTCAACTCAGGCATTTCCACATTTCTAACAGACCCAACAAGAACAAACCTATTTTCTACACTTTCAACCAAAACAGAACATACCTCAGAAGGGAAACTCTAAATCTTCTCAGAGTCAGAAGACCCAGTTCCTTCCCCCTCACTTGCAGACTTGAAGGAATCGTCTGAGTGTTCAGATTCTTGGGCTTGGCTAGCCTACAATTGTGCGTTCAGTCTTTTTGACAGTGCACATGTAGCCACAGTTTTACGAGCAAGCATTTTAACACGTCTCCTCCTAGGCTGGGGGGTTGTACTGGGTTGAGGAGGTGTGGAGGAATCAGAAGAGGTAGGTTGTGGAGGAGTGCCTGGGTTATCTTGAGGGTTCGACATTGTGACTGATTTCGTGAGAGAA